TCTCTGTGCACTCTTTCAAATAAATAAAATTAAAAAAAAATAAAATCAATCCCTGGAACAAGGAGTGTCTTAAACAAATGGATCTGAAAAAACTGGATCACCACATGCGTTAGTAGGAAGCAAGACCACTACCTCACACAAAAATCCACTCAAAATGGACTAAAGATCTAAATCTATGACCTGATATCATAAAATTATTATAGAACATTGGGGAACCTCTGCAAGTCATTGGCACCGGAAAAGAGTTCCTGGAAAAGATCCCAGAGGCACAGGAAATCAAAGCCAAAATTGATATATGGGAACACATCAAATTGAGAAACTTCTGCACTGCAAAAGAAACATCAGCAAAGTGAAAAGGCAATGGACAGAATGAAAGAAAATATTTGCAAACTTTTATTTAAAGATTTATTTATTTATTTGAAAGTCGGAGTTACACAGAGAGAGAGGGAGAAGTGGGGGGGATAAGAGAGAGATAGAGATAGGTCTTCCATCTGATGGTTCACTCTCCAATTGGTTGCAATGGCCAGAGCTGCACTGATCCAAAGCTAGGAGCCAGGAGTTTCTTCCAGTTCTCTCATGTGGGTACAGGGACCCAGGGAGTTGGGACATCTTCTACTGCTTTCCCAGGCCATAGCAGAGAGCTGGATCAGAAGTGGAGCAGCCAGGTCTCAAACCAGTACCCATATGGGATGCCAGCACTGCAGGCAGAGGCTTTACCTGCTACACATATTTGCAAACTTAAAACTGATAAAGGATTAATTATCAGAATATATAAAGAGATCAAGAAACTCAATGACAACAAAACTAATGATCCAATTATGAAATGGGCAAATGACTTAAACAGGTGTTTTTCAAAAGAGGAAATCCAAATGGCCAACAGACACCTGAAAAAATAATGCTCGGGATCACTAGCTGTCAGGGAAATGCAAAACAAAACCACAATAAGTTTTTACCTCAAACCATTATAATGGCTTTCATACAGAAATCAACAGACAACAAATGCAGGCGAGGATATGGGGGTAAATGTACCCTAATTCACTGTTGGTAGAAATGTAAACTGGTTAAGTCACTGTGGAAAACAGTATGGCAATAGCTCAGAAATCTAAATATAGACCTACCATATGACCCAGTCATTCCACTCCTGAGAATATACCCAAGGAAAATGAAAACAGCATATGTAAGTTATCTGTATCCCCATGTTTATTGCAGTTTAATTCACAATAGCTAAAACATGTAATCCAAATCCTGTCAACTAAGTACTGTATAAAGAAACTATTGGATATGTATACCATAGAATATTACACAGTGGTTTAAAAAAAAAAGAAATCTGGTCATTTGCAACAAAATGGATGAAACTGGAAAATATACTTTGTGAAATAAGCCAGTTCCAAAAATGACAAATACAATACATTCTCCCTGACCCTTGATAAGTAGTAAACCTAAAAGGCAATCTGTAGAAGTGAAATTGACATTTTGAGAAGAAATGACTCTGAGCAGCTCTTGTCATGACTGTTGAGAAATTTTTTCCTTACTATTTGTTGCACTCTTTATTTAAGAAAGGATTGATAATATTTGCATAAAGTTAACTGAAAATAGATCATAGTAAAAAATAATATTGGGAATAACAAAGGGAGGAGAAAGAGGGGTGGGAGTGTGGGTGGGAAGGTGGGCACAGTGGGAAGAAATGCCATGTTCCTAAAATTATAAGTATGATGTTTGGAACTGTAAAGCTATCTAGTTCTGAATATATGCCTGTGGACTTACATCTAAGTATAGAGTTTATTTTATTTATTGATTTTTTAGAGATCTATTTATTTATTTGAAAGGCAGAGTGACAGAGAAGCAGAGGCAGAAAGAGAGAAAGAGAGAGAGAGAGAGAGAGAGAATCTTCCATCTGCTGATTCACTCCCCAGACGGCTGTAACAGCCAAAGCTACATTGATCCAAAGTCAGGAGCTAGGAGCGTCTTTTGGGTCTCCTGTGTGGGTGCAGGGGTCCAAGGACTTGGACCATCTTCTACTGTTTTCCCAGGCCACAGCAGAGAGCTGCATTGAGAGTAGAGCAACTGGGACTCAAACTGGCACCCAAATGGGATGCCAGTGCTGCAGACCAGGGCTTTAACCTGCTGTGCCACAGCACTGTCCCCTAAGGGTACACTTAAAAAACTTGCCATGGGACTCCAAATCCTCTTAAGTTGGGAGTAAAATAGCATTTTAAGTGTTAAAGTGATATTATGGATGTGATTGTTAAAATGATCATATAGATAGGTTAAGTGTTAAAATGATCATATAAATAGGATTCACTGTTTGGTAATACTAGAATTAAAAAGGAGTGAGTGCTCCAACATGGGAAGCAGTCCATACAGCAGACTCATAGGATGACAATCACTTTAAGAAGCACTCTGACCTCAGAGCCAGCACCTAAGGCATTCTATTCTGGCTGAAAAGCCCATGAGAGCATTTCAGGCAAGGAAAGCCAAGACACAGTGGAAAAAAAATATCCTACATGAAGGACCTTTAAGTGTGAAAGCCCAGGGGAAAGAAGTGTCATCAAAAAAGGATGTACTTTCCTCTGAAGGGAGAAGAGATATTCCACTTTGCTTACCACCTCATCTAAATACTGACAGAGCTTCTGGATTCAAAAGGTTTCCATAGCCTAGGTGGCTCATGTTGAGATCCTTGGGTGATCCCTGACATCATACATAGGAGTGTTAATTGTTAATTTAAAAACAAGAGATACTGCCTACTATCTTCCCCTGCAGGACCTCTGTCCTTAATGAATTGTACTGTAAAACTTGTTCTCAGTTTTGTGTGTGTGTGTGTGTGTGTGTGTGCAAACTGTTGAAATCTTTACTTATTTTAGAGTTGATCTTCTTTGTATAAAGCTAATTGAAAATGAATCTCGATGCAGAATGGGACTGGAAATGGTAGAAGGAGGAGGAGCAGGGATCAGAGTGTGGGTGAGAGGGTGGGTAGAGTAGGAAGAATAACTATGTTAATAAAGTTGTACTTATGATATTTGTATTCCTTAAATAAAAGGTTTCTTTGAGGAAAACTTCCACTTTGTTTATTGCCTTTTCTAAATTCTTACAGAACTTGTATATTCAAAAGATTTCCATAGCTGAGGCAGCTCATGTCGAGAGCCTTCAGTGATCACTGATGCCATACATAAGAGTGTTAATTGTTAAAATAACAACAGTAGTCACTGTGCACTAACTTCCCATGCAAGAACTCTGCCCTCAAAGAGTTGTGTCAGGAGAGTTAGCAGTAAAACTTGTTTTCAAAATATATTAAGTATATTTAGTATATTAAGTGGAGGATATTCTTATGTCT